TTTATTTTCCCTGTCAAAAAAATTCCCAAAAATCACCTCTTTTTTTCGATCGTCACAGTGGTGTTCCCCCTTAAATAGATATAAAAAAAAATTTATCAATACAAGCAAAGGAATAATTTTAAAAATTTGTCGCCATTATATATAAGAAAAATTTCATCGTTTTTTTATTAACAAAATCAAAAATGTAACATGTATTTTTTATTTGTTCTATTTTTTATATCAAATTTAAAAAAGCAATTGAAATATTTATTTTTCAAATATTTAAAAAAATTTTTCCGATTTTGGTATCATTACAAAATTGATATATTTTCTATATTTAATAAAATTAATATTCCAATAAATAAAATTTTAATTATAATTAAAAAATAATTTGTTACTTAAATATTGATCAAATTTTTATAATTAATTTCAAATTTTTATATAAATTTTAAACTTTGATGCCAAAAAAATACCCGCAAATTTATTGTGATAAAAATTTTTTTACATTATCAAAATTCTACTGTATTTTTATAAAAATTCTAATTTTATAAGCGATTATTTTTTATCAAAACAATCTTAAATTTTTTATAAAATATAAACTTCTCAATTTAATGCGATAAAATCAAAAAATTAAAATTTTTATTAATAATTTAAAGAATAGAACAAAGAAACTTTAACATGTCACATTTTTGCTCTACGAAAAAAATTTATTTGAAAACATATATGCAATCTTACCTAAAAACATAAGCAAAGGTATAACGGACAATTTTTTACATGCCTGCCTCTATATTTCCATATATATTGAAAATATCCGTTTATATACATATATGAAAAAAAATACAAACTTCGGAAAATTATTCCTAAAAACTTCAAAGTTTTTTTATCTACGAACGAATATAAAAATATGTAGACAAATATATAAAAAATTGTTCATAAATGTTTTCGTAAAAAAATCCAGATTAAATATAAATGATCTACAAATTTTGTATATGTTTTCTAGTATATTTTTTCAGTAGGGACTTAATCACCAAAAACATACCGCTTCTCCGTAATAAAATTCCAAAACTATCGATTAAAAGTCACTTAGCATTATCTTCCATCACCAGCATACTGTATTTAATCCCTCATATTTCATATCGCTGGTAAAGCTTGTTGACGCTTGACGATAAACATCGCTAACGCGCTTAAAAAATCGAGCTCCCGGGTCAGAACCTAGAAACTAAGGGGAGGTGTAAGTGCAGATAACCTAAATGAATAAAAGTATTCCATTCAATTATAAATACAACGCTAGCCCCAACCAGAGATAGCGGTACTTCTCCTATCCCCGACTCTAGGCTAGGGAAGAGACACGTCTGCACCCAGATCAGAAAGTGCCGGTCTTGTAGTCGCCCTTGCCATTAATCATCCTCTCGGAGGATAGAAGTGAGCCCAGAAAGAACAGATAGAGCTGACAGCTACAAAGGGACCTTCACTAGTTCGCTAGGAGTCGATCCTCTTGCCTCGAACCATCTTGTATCTCCAAGGGAGTGGAAGATCAACTCAATATGATAGAGAGATCCATTCCGTAGATGTAACATGTAACATGTAACTAGTGACATATTAGACGAATTGTTGAGCTTGCACTCAGATTGACAGAATGAGAGTTCTCCAGAATATGAGATTATTTTAGAGCCACCTTGAATGCTAACCTGGTGCTTTTGTTAGGCATTGACGCTACGTACCAGGTACTCAAACAGGCCGGAGAAATCCGTGGAAGCTCAACAAACTCGCCGCCTACGCCTCCTACTGGTGATCATCTTTCCTCTGGAGTGGGTCCTACGTCGAGGGCCATCTCGTCCCACCCTTCCTCGTCCACCTCTGGTAAGACACATAATTACCCTATTTTTTATTTACGCATTTATTTTATTTTACAGGCTCTTTCTCTCTCTTTCTGTCTATCTTTCTTTCTTTCTTTCTTTCTCTTCTTCCATCTCTCTCTGTCTCTTTATGTTTATCTACGATCAAAGGACACGACTCGCTGGGCTTCTATTCAAAGCTTTCTTTATAATTCTGTTATTTATCAAGTAAATTAAAGGCTATAGTGTATTTGATTTTTTTTTAATACAAAAACTTTTTTAAGAGGTAAAAAAATTAATTTGATTGAAGGAAAAAAATGTTGAATCGAGAAAAAAATTTTATTGTATTTTTTTATTGATTTTTATAAAAGTAATAAATAAATCAGACATCTACTACTGGGTGCGGAGATAATGTATTTTTATACAGAAAACCGTGACAAGAATGTGAGGAAAATAAATTAAGGGTATCAGGATTCGCTGAGGTCTGTGTTACTTTTTACCCTATTATTAGCGTAATGTTGGCATTAGCAAAAGTTCCGCTGTGAGCTTCTACCATCAGGATCTCTGGCCGTTGATTTACGCGGAACCGCACTTTATCACAACAATGACAATTATTGTTAAATAAATCCTCGTGAAACTTCCTGGGGGCTTGAATTTGATTAAACCGGCATTTTAAAATCCTTTGAAGTACGCCCGGCTTTCGAAATCACTAAGTGTTCAATTCGCTTCTCTGTATTAACTATTGATCCGACTAACTGTTTATAGGATTGGGATTTGAGTTATCGAATTATTATTGCGGATTTGAATCGTTCATCGCTTTGCTATTTTTGGATTTATTGTCAGAAATCAAACGCATTAAATTCGGGTGATGATTAAAATTTTTTTACAGAAAATTCTAAAGCTGTTTTCTTTTTTTGCACTGATACACTGATAGAAGGATTTACTAAACTGATTTAGTTACAAAATTTTTATTTATTTATTTGGGAGAAAAAAATATTTTGTACCCAATATTATTTCTTACAGTTTAATAAATGATTTTTTTTATATGAACAAAGCCTTATTACATAAAAATAAATATTTATTTCCACTAAATAATATTTAGTAACAGGTTCCTTATATTTTTACTTAAAATTATTTATTTTGATTTATGTCAAGTTGAAAATTTAGGTTACACGCTAAAATTAGTTAAAAAATTAATTTCTTTAATACCAATAAACGATTTATTGAGTAGCAATAAATCATTTGTTAAATACTACTAAATATTTATTTGGTGAAACTAAATAGGCTTTAATCTGTTACTAAATCTTATTAAATCCTTCTATCAGTGTAGATGGATTTGTTTATAGTTAAAAATATTTAATATTTAAAAAATTATCTATTAGAGACCACTTTTTAGTCCTTAAAAAATATTTATTAATATTTAATAAACTAATATCAGCTTTATTAAATACAAACAATAAATGATTTGTCTGTAATAAATGATATGTTAATTATATTATTAATAAATATTTTTTATTACAAATAAATTATTTTATCAGTGTGAAAAAATTTCTGTTATTTTGCTTGTTAATTTTTTTTTAACTAAATTAAAAAAAAATTTAATATTAAACTCGGACCTGATTTTTTTTATTAAAAAAATTACACAAATAAAAAAAAATACTTTAATTATTTAGATGATCAATTGATTAAATTCAAAGCCATTTTATCAGGACGTTAATTAAATACTTAAATGAATCTAAATTGACCTTAATTACTTAATTAAATACAAATATAAGTTAATCAATCAATTTCTGTCTCTCGGATGAATAATCGGTAATAATTGACAATAATTTAATTATTCAACAATATCATTAATAATACGGTTAGTAATTAATTAATTCATTAGATTATAAATTTTGAATCATAATTAGTGATTAAAAATTATTAATTCATAATAATAATAATAATAATCTAAAACAATTATAATTAGCTTAACTAATGCTAATAACAACAATAACACGCTTTGTTGTTTGGCTTATACTTATTATAAGCAATAATATAATAATATCGAGAGACGTCAAAAATGAGCATTAATTGGAATTGGCCAGGACGCGGAAGCGGCGGATCGACTTCGGGCACTCGACCATTTGGGCAGCCGCTGATTCTGATGCCGCAACATTCTCTCGCGACAAACTCATCCTCGGCTTCCCGTCGCAAGCGCAACGCCAATAAAAAACGGTGACATTGAAAGAAAAAAATAAAATTTATTGCAAGTTTTTTTAAATGAACAATTATTTTTTTATACAAAATATTAATAATATATGTCACCTAAAAATAAACGAGGGATAATAAAAAAAAAACGAAAAAAATCCACCCACCTAACATCACAAAAAAAAAGTCACAGGTTAACAAAAAATAAAATATAAATTGTGCATATAAAATAAAATATGACATAAGAAAAATAAATCAAGCCTTAGCGGGTGGGTCTTCTTCAGGAATACGACCATCAGGGCAGCCTCTGATATTGATGACTCCAGAACCCTCGTCGTCGGGTGCCTCTTCCCCATCACCGAGGTCACCGTTGAGGAGCCAGAGTAGTACCAGTAAAAAAATTCGATGATACTCAACTTAAACTCAACAAAACTTTTATTCTCAATAGACAACACCGGATAACGATCGTCCTAATTAATCAACTCTAATTAATCGGGATCTATTCTCATATTTTCTATACAGCAAAACAATACATCCCAAATCTAGCACACTAGGCATTTTAATTATAATTAAAACTCTATTAAATTTTCGATTATAATCCGTGGACTGAACGCTCAAAATACCGATACGTCTCACTCGACCTGTGCACTCTAAACTCTCTGGAAAATGTGTGCCCAACTATCATGCATCACTCGAGGACATTAGCCAGTGTTTTTTTTTTTTAAATCAACGACCCCAAACGACAAATCCATTCTCAAAATAATTACGACGACAATTACTGCAGATTTCTCTTCTGTTCTCATTAAAATCGATTAGATTTAGATTGTCCGCTCGGCGTAACACGAGGAACGAGAATAAGCTTTGCTTGACAACCGGGGAGGTTCTGCAACAGATATATTCAGACTGACATGCAACACCACTTATTGTTACGCGTCAATATCGATCGGTATGGTCTAGTTATCTTATGCATTAACATTACCATTGTTATCGGGCAGGACATGATAAATTTAATGAACATAGTGGCCAAATTTAATTTAATTGATCATCGATCTACATGAAGCTCCACCCTCCTTACCTCCGCGACCTCCCGTGTCATATGTGATATTAGACACTGCCTAATCGAGTTTCGTGATTAGACTAGCTTCTCTCCCTTTCATCTATTGTATCTCGTTCCTTCTCTGTATCAATTAACAAATTTAAAATATATCATTTTCGGTCATTTAATAATTATTTTTAATTTTTAAATTATTTATAATTATTTTAAAAAATCATTTCAATTTTGATGCAGAGAAAAATTTTTACTTTACAAGAAATTAATTTTTTTTTTTTGTGAAACGCAGAAAGAAAATGATTTATATTTATGTTCGCTCAATCTTATATTGTATGATTTAATTCACTAAATATTTAATTAAAAGTGTATCAAATTATAATTTGTAAATACTGTAAATAAACAGCTGTGCGTAAAGTATATTGATTTTCGAGTCGTGTCCGACTGAACGTATTTTTTATAAATACTCTATCGATACTAATACTTTCAATTTTCTGATTCAAGAGTTTTTTTTTTCCAAATTTCAAAGTATATTTATTAATTTTTTATAAAACACTGAGAAAAAAATTTATTTAATTCAAAAGAAAAAAAATTTAATGAAGAAAATCATTTTGATAAATTTTTTTAAACTAAGAATAATTTTTTTAGTTCAAAATTTTTATCGTAGAAGATAATTAAATTTACAAAGAAAATTTTTTAATGATAAATTAAAATAAAAATTAGTCTTTTTATTGTTTAATAAAAAATTATCTATTGAAATTTATTAATTCTTCCGTCTGACATTTTTCTGTTTGTACTACTCATCTAAAAAAAAATTCCTCTAAATCACTTGATTCAACTTTTAATTAAAAAATAACAAATTCTCGAATCAGAAGCTACAAATATTTCCTCTATTTATTTTCCAAGTGTACTTGCTCTTACAACTTAAAAATTCTATTGATTTAACCTTATTTTATTATCTTATTATAAATATACCGTGTGGCACGTTCTATGCTTCGAAGAACTTTTTATACTTTTAATCGCTGTGATCTGTGTATCTGGTCTGAAACTCAATTACAATTACCAACTTTCTCTCTATTGCTGTTAATGTATGCTAAAAAAACTGTATTTAAAAAATTACTTATAATTTATATGACACTTAATGTTTAAAAAAATGTATATATGTGTGAAAAAAAAGCGAAGTGTTCGAGGCTGATGTCGGACGTGCCAGCTAGGTATCATTGTAGTTGCCTGATTAGATTTTTATAGTAATATCAGCCACCGTATTTATAAAACTATTGATCGCTGGCTGAGAATAATTAGCGAAATAGACAGTAGTGATGATCAAGCCATTGACCGGAGACTTTTTTCATTCTAAATTTTTTACATTAATCATTTTAATGATGTTATGAAAAAAAATATTAGCACATTGTAAAAATCTCCATAGAAAAATTGATATCAAAAATATATATAAAAATTAATTAACATAATTTTTTATTTTTTTTTTTTAATAAACAAAAAAAAATTATTTTTATTTATTTAATAATTCCAAAATTCATACTTAGAGATTTAAAAAATTTATGTGAATTTTTTTCTTAATTAAATAAATTTTAATTTTATAAAATAATTAAATTAATAATTTTTTTTTTAATTTTTATAAATAAAATTTTTTGCTAAATTTTTTTTATAATAATTTATTTGTTAAAAAATCCTAAAAATTGCCATATAAAAAATAAATTTCAATTAATTTTATTTAATTAGATTTAGTAATGTTAATAAATTATAATTTTTTACTTTTTTACTTTAAAATTTATTAACAAAATAATTTTAATTAAAATTTAGTTCGATGTTTAAAAAAAGAAAAATTTTTTATAAAAATATAATTAATATTTACAAATTTAATTTTTAAATAAATGATTTAAATTAATTGTTTATATTTATAATAATCTTCAGTATAAAAATATATTTTCAATATAAATTATTAATTTAATTTTTTATATATTTTTGCGATAAATTTTTCCATGGAGATAATTTTTTTCTTAAAAATAATTTTAAAAAAATTTGATCTAAAATCTTGTGGTAAAAAATCCGCAAAAGTAATTCGAGTCTCCGGGATCGGTATGATCAATTAAGCACGTTAGACGACATCGAGCATCGAGCACCAAACGGAAGAAGGGCTGACTCATAATAGATATCATGAAACACGAAGCTCCGCACAGTCCGCAACGTCGACGCGAGCGGCTTAACCTCAGGATGAAGAGCCTCAGTCTGGACTCGCCGGAAGGATCGGCCCACGTGAGACATCGCCCGAGGGACTACTACTCGGGGCAGAAGGACTCAACTCCGCCCAGGCACTCCGATAGCGGCAGCATTAATCGTCTGTGTAAGTTTCATTTTTAATATCATAAATCACCCACTCACTCACTCTCACCCTGGATGACAAACAATTTATATTTTTACAAGTAATAACTATTGTGCGATTAACTATTAACTAAATTGTTAAAAATCGGTGAAGCCCCTTGCAGCTCAGGTCACGGACAGCCGGTTCACAAGCAGAGTCGCAGCGCGATCAGGATGTCCAGCATGGAGCTCCCGGATGATAACGACAAGTCCTATTCATCGGCCAGCACCTCTCCTTGCCCGTCACCCCACGCCAACAATCAGAGTCACTTGAATTTTCCGGGGAAACGGGTATTGCCTACGAATAATCTCTTCGTTGTGTTGTACAACTTTGATGCACGACATCGTGATGAACTTGACCTCAAGTGAGAATTTTTTTTTTTTTTTTTTTTTCAATTTTTATGACATTAAAATTACCAGTCACTTAATCATTTTTTAATCTGTATTATTAAGAGAATAAGCAAAATTTTGTGGTCAGTGTATTTATATGATAAAATGGATTTTTATGATTAAATTTGGTATCGTTGGATAAGTCTTGATTTAAATTTGTATCTCTAGATACATAATTAAGAAATGTCCCCACATCAATTTTTCATATATTTATATATATATGTATATATGAAAAATATATCAAAAATGCATGTGGGTACTTAAATGAAAGCTCTTGATAAGTATAATACTAGAATAAGCTTATATCTTCAAAAAGGTCAATAGTTAAGAAAGCACAGTGCAATTTAACAAATCTCTTGTGAAATATTGAGATTTTTGAATATATAAACTCACCCCGAGATTACACTCATCGAGACCTTTCATTTGAATACCCACATCAATTTTTCATATATTTTATATATTTATATATATGTATATATGAAAAATATATCAAAATGCATGTTGGTACTTAAATGAAAGTTCTTGATAAGTGGATCATCGGGATGAGCTTTATATCTTTAAAAAAGTCAATAGTTAAGATAGTTCAGTGAAATTTAACAAATATCTTGTGAACTATTGACATTTTAAAAGATCTAAGCTCACCCCGATATTACACTCATCGAGAGCTTTCATTCGAGTACCCACATCAATTTTTCATATATTTTATATATTTATATATATTACATATATGTATATATGAGAAATATATCAAAAATGTATGTGGGTACTCAAATGAAAGCTCTTGATGAGTGTATCGTCAGAATGAGCTTATATCTTCAAAAACGTCAATAGTTAAAAAAGTACAGTGCAATTTAACAAAAGTCATTATTTAATAAAGCAAAATTTTCTTTATTTATAGTTCACAAGTCACGGCAGTCACATAGTGACTGCAAAGTTGCTAGAAACTTGTAATTGAATTACAATGATGGTGTAAAATTTTTATGGAGTAATAAAATATTTGTTCTTTAAATAAAATCAAAAAACAATCAAGCATCTCATAATTTTAATATTATTATTTTATCATTATAAGTTCCAAATAAAATATTTCCAGCTTAATGATCAATAACAAATATTTATTCTAGAGCCGGATATAAAATAACAGTGATTGATAAGTCAGAGAAAGATTGGTGGAAAGGTAAATGTTTGGGCGGCAAAGCTGGTTACTTTCCAAGTGCATACGTTATGAAAATAGAATCTGGTCAAAAAACGCTCCAAGTTACCCGCAATCTTCAATTAACCGACACCGTGACACTTCTGCGAGACCAAGTAATAATTCAAAAAACTTTCAATCTTATTTTTTATTTAATTAATATCAACAATTATATAATAATATCGATAATAATACACAAAAAAAAATTTTCTAGAACCAAAAATAATTAAAATATCCGCAGACAAAATATCAAAAAATCAATATCTTAGCAATTAATTATTAGAGAGAAAATCTACAAAAATCTGCCATAATTTTTTGAGAAAAAAATTTTATTTTCTTTTTATATGAACTCGGGTATTTTTTCTATGGATATTTTTTCGTTTTTTTAGCAAGAAAAAATTTTTTCAAGACAATAAAATTTTTTTGAATTAAAAAATTTTATTTTTTTTAGAGAAAAATGTCTAGAATTTTTTTTCTCTGTCTAATATTTAATTAATTAACAATAATTATAATTGCAATTTAATTTTTAAGATCGTGATCCAAGTAAGCGACGCAGTAGATGGCGTAGCAATGGTCCGATGTGCAGCAGACACCCGTTCATCGGGGCACGTTACCGAAGAAGGTGATGTGCAGTTCCGGGAGGTCCTTTGCCCTACCAAGTTCCTTCAGGAGGTGTGACAGCGACGCCAATACACCAGGTCGAGTATGAATTACTACCAATCAATTAGCGAGCGTGTGAGATACCGTCAGTCAACAGTCGCGCAGGAGAATTTCATGACGTCCTTTGATGCACATGCTAACGCCTCGGAAATGTATTATGACTGTTTGCAATGCACCGAGCACTGTCGGCACGCCAGTACCACCAACGACAATATTAACATGAACATCAACGCCCTCGCAAACATCACCTCCACCACCGACAGAGACAACTCCAGCTCTGTCTTCAAACGCGGAATGGCCAAAGCAAATGTCAACCCCAAGTTCGACGTCAACTACCAACCAAACATCAACATCAATTATCTCAACTGTAATTATTCATCAGATTTCTGCGAGCTCAACCGCGAAAAAGTCTGCAGCCAGATCCAGTGCGTGACAACTCCCGCGAGAAAACGGTCCTCCTTAGCCCGCCCCGTCAGGATTCATGATTCTTCAGTGCACAAAAACGTACCCACAGAAATGACCGAGTTTTCTATCGACGAACGGTCAAATCCCGGAGAAACTGCCTACTACACTGGCGGGCTGCCCTTCGATGACCACTCGGGCAGCGAGGACGGCTGGCCAATTCGCCTAAGGCTCGAGGAAATCCTGGAACTTACCTTGTCCAGGAGCAAGAAGTCCAAGAGGATGAAGACCAGAAAGCGCAAGAAGGTTACGCTCACCAGCAAGCACACACACTTCAAAGATACCGAGAGGCTTCTCAAGGTACTTAGCATTAATAATGTGGACCAAGATTGTAGGTACAATGTTAAACGTTGTGCCATTATGTAGTGTGTTGTTATGTTATAATGTTTCCGTGAAGTCATTTTCTGATTTAGCTTCATATGATCATATTTGGCCATATTAAAATTTTTTGTATGGCTATATATGATCTAATATGATCATAAATATTTTTTTATAGAACCATATATGACCTCATTTATTCTAATATGTAAAGATCAATACATATATGGCCATATATGGCATGGAATGTCAATATATAATTTTTTTAGTATGACCATATATCACCTGATATAAAAATTATATATATATATTAAGATATATCAGGCCATATATGGTCTGATATGGCAATATATGGCATGATATATCCATAGCTAATTTTTTTTAATATGACCATATATCACTTGATATGTTCTGATATGGAAAATTATATAAATTAAGACATATGAGCTCATATATGGCCATATCAGGCCATATTAAGCCATATATGTCCTTATATGTCCTCATATATATGGCCGGGCATGTCTTGATACATCCTGATATAAAAATCATTTAGATGAAACATATCAGGGCATATATGGCATGATATGTTCATATATAATTTTTTTGGTAGGACCATATATCACCTGATATATTCTGATATAAAAATTATATATATTAAGACATATCAGGTCATATATGGCCATATATGATCATATAAGAAATTATGTATGTGCATATCTGGCCATATCAGAAAATTTTTTCATGGATTGTTATTTTTTTTATTATTATTATTGATATTGTTTTAACGAGGCGGCTTATATATTATATATTATTAATTATTATAAATATTATGGTAACTTGTATCATACAGGAAGACAGTTCTTAATATAACGGAATTTATTTGATAGCTCGTAATCCGATTGGGCTTCCGCCAGCACGCTCTTCCTATACTTTAGCTGGTGTCTTAATTATTATTAGGTATGTATATTTATATTAGGGTGCGCTGAAAATTTTTCTTATCTTTATTTTAGTAATTATGAAAAAAATCTCGAAAGAGATTCTTGGTAATGTGGAAATATTTTTATGATTAGGGAAGAAATTGCAAGATTAAATTCAATCGAAATTTTAAAGATAACTTTTTAATTTTTTAATTTAACTTATTTTTGAGAAGGAAAATTAGGAATTGTTTTTTAAGAGAGGGTCCATTATTTATTTATCATAAAAATGGAAAAATTAATTTGTTTGAATTTTGTTTTTTGTGATTGCAAATTTGTTAAAATTTGAAATTTTTTATGACCAAAATAATTATCAAAAAAAGTTTTTCACACCCTAAAAAATATACATATTTAATATTTAACATAAATAAAACGCATTTCGATCTTTTTCCTATAAAATTTTTAATCTTATTTTTTGTAATTACTTCATTTATAACTAACCACTTTTTTGCTCGTAATTTGTTTTTACTTAAATAAATTAAACTAATGTATTTTTCAAAGCAAAAACCTCTTGAGAGAATAAACACGAATTTAACATTACCTACTACAAAAACCAGCCTAATAAAAGCCGTCCTTTCGTACTTGCCTGAAAGTCGTAAAACAATTTGTTTTAATGATAAATAAAATAAAATACATTTTTACCAGGATTTTTTCGTTAATTAATAATTAAGTTAATATTTATACAAAACCAAACGATAAACTAACTAAATAAATAAATATATTTAAAGTATACCCATAAAATAAGGTGACCTGGAAAACAAAATGTGTCGTTTTGTTAAAAACAATATTATACAATTATTTATTACTTATTGCTCTACCCGTTGCGTGTAATAATTATCGATTAGCCATAAAAATTATTTTTACTGCATTTTAACTACAGTTACAATTACTTATTATTTTTATAATTTTACCATCCACCTGCGAATAATATGTAATGTTACTTATGAGAGAGAAAGATCGTAATTGCGAATAATTATTATTGATAAATAAATAAAAAGAAATATTAATATTTTATTTCGGAACTAATTAATTAATTTTAAATGCTTATTATTCTTTAACTATAAAAATTATTCTTTAAATTTTTATGAAAAATTATTTGATAATTTTTGAATTTTTAAATAATTTGGGTAAATATTTAAAAGTGGGGTCAACCATTTTAATTTTTATTTTTTTGAATGAAATTTTTATTTGATTTTAGTGATATATTTTTTTTTTTTTAGTCAAATACATAAAAATTAACATAAAAAAAAAAAAAAAAAATATATTAAAAATATCAAAAAAGATAGAAAAAAAATTGATTTACAATTTTAACAAATTTTCAAAATAATTTATGAATTTTTTAGAAAATTTTGATATTTAATTTTTTTTTTTAATTGATTGATTTTTTATATAGTTTTCAAAAAAAAAAAATATATTAAAAATATCAAAATTAATTATCAAAAAAATTTATCACAATTTTAACAAATTTTCAAAATAATTTATGAATTTTTTAGAAAATTTTGATATTTAATTTTTTTTTTTAATTGATTGATTTTTTATATAGTTTTCAAAAAAAAAAAATATATTAAAAATATCAAAAAAGATAGAAAAAAAATTGATTTACAATTTTAACAAATTTTCAAAATAATTTATATATTTTTTCAAGAAAAATGTATCAAAAAACGATAAAATAGAAATTTTATCCAAAAATAAAAGAGCCAAAATTATTTCCAACTTTTGAAGGCAAAAAAGCTATCGAATCTTTATTTTTTTCTTTCATGACATTTTTTATCATAAATACGCCGTAATAACAAGCAGAATATAAAAGTTGTTAATATTTCACCGAGTTATGGCCCAACATAGGGTTGACCCCACTTGTAAATAATTACCATAATTTGATTTTGTTTTTCATAAAAGAAACCCAAAATGAAAAATGAAATAGATAAATTTCTTGATATTTATACAACAAAGAATATAAAATTTGTTAGTATAGAAATGTGCGATATTTTATCTCGTTGACCAGAAAATTAAGAAATGTTATTTATAATTAATAAATAAATTAAACCACTAACTAAAAAAAAAATACAGTATGTTACGAGTGCCCTTCCCTTGAAAGTGTATCTATTATAATACAAATATAAAAATCTGAAGTAAGCTATTCCAAATACCACGCCCAGTATTTTCTAAGTATTAATAGAATGTATAATTACACCCAATATAAAATATTATTACTTATTACTGCTAATTGAAAAAATAAAAAATTATGAACTATTGTTTAATAAAATATTAAATAAATTAATTAATATATAAAGATGTAAAATGTATACAAGCGTAAGCGCGCACTTATAAATGTCTTTGAATATTTAAAGTATCACTGAGACGATAATTTGTTGGGTGTCGTGTTATTATTTGTAATGATTATGTTGTGTAATAGTTAATAAAATATAAAAAAAAAATATATATATATATATATTAGGTAAATAAATATGAGTGTACTGAGCCACCGCCGAGTGCCATCTTACATTCTAGTATTTAATATATTTATCAAATCATGAATCTAGTCTGTTTGCAATGAATAAAAAAAAAAACCTTTACATTTGTGACCAGAATAAATGTCAAATTGTTGTTAGTTATTAATTACTAATAATAATAATAATTAAAAAGTATAACACATGAATTTTTGTTTTAATGAATTTAGATCGCACGAAAATTTGTGTAAATATATAAAAAATAAAATAAAGATAATTTGCAAGTAAAAAATGCGTTAAATATTTTATTAAATTTATTTAAATAAAATAAAATAGTTTTATTTAAAATTTAAAATTTAAAATTATTGTTACTTATTGGGTATTAATTACTGTTAATGATAATTAGAGTTTATCTTTAGCAGCGTGGACGATGGGGAATTTATCTCCGGCGCAGATCCCTCGGAAATCGTCGGTGGAAAGATCCCAGATGGCAACGCCGCCGAGACCTTTGGCTTTTGAGTAGCTGGCCTTGTTTCCAGCAGTATCGCGGTCTTCATACCCGACCCAGATCCCGTCAGCCGACGTCTCGGGGTTGTAGGATTGGTACGCGTAGCTTCCGTACTTCTTTGACGGATCACTGACGCGTCTCAGTCTACCCACGTGGCTTTCCGTCAGACGGGTGCAGACTTCTCCGTATGACAGGAGTCCTGGAGTTGCTGTGTGAGGTCCCTCTGCTCCAGGCCCGTCAGCTACTATTGGCGGCACTCCGGAGATTTGGCTTTCTGATGTCAGTTTCCACGTACGAGCGAACGCTGGGATTCCTATTACGATCTTACCTCCGGGAGTTCCGTGTTCCAGCCAGTATCTGTTATGATTGTTTTATTATTAGTAGACTATGGATACAATTGGTCTTTTTTTTTTTTTAATTTTTATGAGATAAAAATTATTGAAGAAATTAAAAATTATGAGAGCTTTTTTTTGGAAATTTTAATTGTTAATTAAAAAAATTTTTATTTAATTTGCAGTCTTTTTTTTTAATGAAATTTCAATTTAGAAATTGAAAAAAAATATTTAAAGAAATTTTACTTAAAGAATTTTGAAATAAAATTTGAACATAAAAATATTTAAAAATAAAAATTAAATTTACAAATTTTGATAAAATATTTAAAAAAAAATAATAAAATTTGTAATAATTTAAAAAAAAAAAATTCTTTAAATGAAATTTAAACATAAAAAATATTTAAAAATAAAAATTACACTTGAAATTTTGAAAAAAATAATTAAAAATGAATAAAATTTGCAATAATTTTACTTTAAGATTTTTAAAATAAATTTTGAACAAAAAATATTTAAAAATAAAAATTTTGAATCTATTATTTTAAAAAATAATAATAATTTTTTGATATCTCGTAAATTTTTCTTCAAAATTAAAAAAATAAATTTTATTTCTCTAAAAAAAATTTTTTTCATCGTAAAAAAAATAAATTTATAAAAAAAAACTCACCTAACAGAAGCGTCAATATTATCCTGAGGCACACGGTTGTAACTTTCATAAATGGGCGCAGGGTAATCAGCTTCTTTAGGATTTCTTTCAGGTGTTATCTGATCGAAGGCCATCAAATGAACGGCCTCGATGTTGGGAGCAAGAAGTCTTGCGTCATAGTAGACTACAAACAAGAAAATAAAATAATGATTAGATAAATAAAAACCGAGCTAAGTAAAGGCGTAATAAATAAAAATGAACCGTGGGTGTAATTGAATATCATTGGGAATAATAAGTAGACAAATTGTTTTGTTTGTTACGGAAACTTACTGCTCGCGTTGACATGGGGCAAGACGGTGAGTGTCAAAGCCTTGTTTTTTGATCTCAATTGAACCTTGAGGTCACGCACCAAGTTCGTGAATCCATTTCGGTGCTCTTCCTCATGCTCGTCCTTGAATTTTCCGCCTCCAAAGGCTTTCTTAATGTTGTGCCAAACATTACCGAATGTGCTGCGGTGCTTCTTAACTTTGGTCTCGGGGAACTCCCAGGCGAGGTCGATTCCGTCAAAGTCGTACTCGGTAACCAGCCTTACCGCGGAGTTTATGAATTTGTTTCGCGCTTCAGGGGTCTCGGTCTACAAATCAAAGTCTGCTTAATATTTGAACTAATTTGAGAGGAGGTTAATTAGTTTGAAACTCACCACAGTCAAATATTTGTGGGTGTCGTAGTCGGGGTCGGCGTTACCCCCCACGCTGAGGTAGACTTTAAGATGGGGGTAAGTCTGTCTCAGCTGATTTACAATCCGGTAAAAGGAATATCCTGCTCCGGTATCGAGATTTGGGTGCAGAGGAATCGCTTCAAAGCTATTGGGGTCGATTCCTGCGAATCCGTAGACAAGGTGCGTACAGTAAGGTATTGCTGGTTTTAAATCATCTATTTGGAATTTTCCTGGTCCTACAAAGTCAAATTATTATCATCATCATCATCATAATTGATTTATTTATTTATTTAGAAAAAGTATTTTATAACTGACACAAAAAATCTCTTTTGAAAAAAATATAATAAGAAATTAATTTGTTGAAAATTTTTTTATTTTATTTCTGAGCCGAAGAAATATTAAAATTTTCTAAGTTTTTTGTTGAAAAAAATTTTTTTTTAATATTAAAATCTCCAATTTTAGATTAAAAACTTGCAAATTATCATTTAAAATTGTTTTTTTTCCCAAATTTAGAAAATTTTTTTGCAACAAAGAAGTTATTGTGATTTTTTATTAATTAAAAAACTAAATTGTTTAAAAATTTTCAATAAATAAATTTCTTATTTCAACATTGTTCATTTTTTTTTCAAAAGACATTTTTTCTTTCAGTGTAAAATAATTTTTATTAATTATGTGCAATATTTTTAATGAAACTTAATATATCTATCATAAAATTCATTTAAAATTATGAATTTATTTATAAAAATCAATAATTATAATAACTTTTATAATAAAATAAGAATAGAATTTTATACTAATGAAATAAAATTTTTTTAAATTAAATTTTATCATAAAATTTTAATTATAAAAAATTTCGATGATAAATGGAATTTCGTCCAAAATATTTTACATTATTAATAAAAATTATTTCAATTCTTATTATATTTTTTTCTGTTAATTCTAACAAGAAGAAAGTCCAATAAATATCTTTAAAAAAAATTAATTCTCTTTTAAAATAATAATAGTAATACAAGATAACAAAATATTTATTGAATTGCAATTAATTAATTTTGAATTTTCGACTATATAAAAACATAACTATTATTATTTTAAATTATTATCTTCAGTAAAAGTATAGTAGTGTATCAATTTACAAGTTGTAAAGAATATGTATTGATGACATTAGATGTTTGGTACATTGAGTTAATACTTAGCTAGAAGAGCAATAGAGTAATGGAGTAATCTATTTACCTGGACGTTCGAATGAGGTAGAGTTCCAATAACAGACAACCTTGTTGTGTTCATGAGGATCGAGTGCAGCTCCAAGGCTAACTGTGAGTGCGGCAATTACTGCCAGCAACAGCTTCATTTTCTATCTTTATAGAAAAATTCACTATTTTATTTTTTTTTTTTATTCAACTGTACAATTATTAATTACTAATTATAAATTATTTTATTTTTTGAAAATTGCTGAAGTATTGTATCGTAAAAAAAGATCACTGATTTAATTGCTAATTAATCAACGAAGATAATTAAAAAAAACTAAATTTTAACTAATAAAATTTTTATTAAATAGAAAATTAATGAAAAAAAATTTTAATTGAATGAAAAGTTTATTTGCAAAGATAAAATTTCTAGTTTACAAACTTAATAAAATTCAATAAACAATTATTGTGTAAGAAAAATAAACTTACCAGTGACTTAACTTGTTGAAGGATGAAAATAATTTGACAGAGCGAATTGAACGTCTATTAAAATGATAGCTCGCCGACGTTAAAACGGGGATTAAAATCGTTTAAGTGGGAAGGATCTGATTAGTCATTACCCTGCCCCTCTACACCACATATTCTTTGAAACGTCTCGAAATTTCTTCATGCGACATGAGATATATTATATTATTGTATTATACATTCAATGTGTACATAAAGATATAGAGAGAATACGTAGAACAAAAATAATAATAATAATAACATATTAATGAACGTGAGGATGTAGAGAAGTAGATAATAGTTCACATCTTGGATCAACCTACACTGGCACACTCGATAATAAACTACTGAGCTAGTACAGTCCCAGTGTTTGATGTTGATAACAAGATTTATAGACGCGTTTAATGTGAAGGGTAGAGAGAGGTCACTGGGACTTTAATTCGAATAACAATATTATTACTTTTGTTTAATTGTTTTATTCAATTCTTATTTTATTTTTTATTCGTTAAGCTTTACAATTTTAATTATTTATTGTATAAAAAATAATTACTCTTCTCTGAAAGTAAAAAGTTCTTTTTATAAAAATGAATATTTTTGTGAAAAGAAATAAAAATTGTTTAAATTTCTTATTACAACATTGTTGAATTTTTTAAAAAGAAATTTTTACTCTAAGAGTAGAATAATTATTTTTCGTACAGTAAAAATGAAATAAAATTGATTAAAAATTTCGAACAAATTAATTTATTGTTACAAAAATGTTCATTTATTACAAAATAAATTTTTTTTCTCAGTCTCTGTTGTAATAAGAAATTTTATTGCTGGAAATTTTAAACAATTTTATTTCTTTGCTGAAGAAATAAAAATTTTTCTCACAATAATTTTTTTTTTGAAAAAAAAAATGTTTTCTAGATTTGAAAAAAAAAAAAAACAATTTTGGAAGAAAATTTTAAAGTTGTTTATTTAAAATTATTTTTCTCCAAATCTAAAAATTTTTTTTCCAAAAAAATTTCTTATCACAACATTGTTCATATTTTTAAAAAGAAATTTTTACTCTAAGTCCAGAATAATTATTTTTCATAAAATAAAATTGTTAATAAATTAATTAATTAATTAACAAATCAATTAATTTTTTGTTACAAAAATGTTCAATTTTTCCAATGTATTTATTTTTATTTTGTTTTATTTCTTCTTTGGAAGAAATTGTCTATAGTTGTTTTCGTACATGGTTTATAAACACGAACACTTGACGAGTCGATTGATCACGAGTATCTGTCTCATCTGTATGCAAATACGGTTTTGTTAATTCCAAGCCAAGGATAACACCATTTTGTCGCATGTTTCGACTTAATGCTTTATTTTTATTAGTATTTTATTTTAATTTTCGATTATTTATTTTGTATTTTGTGATAAATACATTTTAAGCTGACTAAAAACTCTACTTGATAATAACTGAATAAATCATTGAGAAAATATTTATTCTCTTAGAAATTTATTTAACATAATCCCGATAATTATAATCTAAAGTAAATGTATTTACGATGCCAGTTTTCGAAGAATGGGAATTTCCAAATGTATTTATGTACGGACTTTCTCATTAAAAAAACAAAAACTTGTATTATAATTTATTGAGACAAAAAAAAAATAATAATAAATAATCCTAAGCTGATCTTTCTCTGAATTTGTTATCCATTAAAAATAAGAAACGATAACCCGACGTACCAGAAAATAATGTAATCTAACTACTTCTTCGAGATAAATGAAAGTAATATATATCGTATAAAGTATATTAAAATAATGTCATTAAATTTATGAATTACTATTAGCTTTGTAATTAATTAAATGATTTATTCAGCTTTAAACTATTTTATTAAATAATTGGTGACCTATTCTTCGGGGTCTTCTTAACTCCGGCCTTTCTCAGTCTTGTCTTCTAAGAAATTATACAAGTTGCTAATTAAATTACTTCCAGCGAAAACAATTGTATAAACATTTAATTGTTTTGATTTTTTTGTTTCGCAGAAGTTTATTGTGAAGTATATAAATATCTATAGATATATTTATAAAAAATTAATCGAATAAATATAAAAAATAGTATTTTTCTTACCCAGGGCAGGAAAATAAGAAATGTCTCAGATTACATGTAATTGTTGACCGAGGCGAAGCCGAAAATTGACGCTTTCCGCACGGAGAGGAGAAAACTCATTTTTCCGCTCGATTTAATAATTTGTTAAGAACACATATAAGTCATATTTTAATGTCGATTTATACATTAATTACACGTTACATAATTTGTGAGTCAGAAAAAGACCCGCGATATTTACTTTTTTTAACAAAAGGTTTTAATTTTGTTAAACAAATATTTTGCGCTATTAATTTTTATAATTATTTATTGAATACTTAGTCATTATAAGAAATTAACAATTTTATCTTAAGTAATTAAAAAATGACCTTGTATCTCGTGAACTATTGACATTTTTTAAGATATAAGCTCATCCTGATGTTACACTCATCAAAACCTTTCATTTGAGTACCCACATCAATTTTTCATATATTCATATATATATATATATATGAAAAATATATCAAAAATGCATGTGGGTACTCAAATGAAAGCTCTTAATGAGTGTAACATCGGGATGAGCTTATATCTTTAAAAATGTCAATAGTTAAGAAATCACATTGAACCTTGCTATCTAATGACATTTTTACAAATATAAGCTCACCCTCGTATTGCATTCATTGAGACCTTTCATTTGAGTACCAACAACAATTTTTCATATATTTTATATATTTATATATATTACATATATGTATATATATGAAAAATATATCAAAATGCATGTGGGTACTCAAATGAAAGCTCTTAATGAGTGTAACATCGGGATGAGCTTATATCTTTAAAAATATCAATAATTAAAAAGTGACCTTGTATCTTGTGAACTACTGAGATTTTTGAAGATATAAGCTCACCCTTACATTACACTCATCAAGACCTTTCATTTGAGTACCCACATTAATTTTTCATATATTTTATATATTTATATATATTACATATATGTATATATGAAAAATATATCAAAAATGCATGTGAGTACTCAAATAAAAGCTCTTGATGAGTGTAACATCGGGATGAGCTTATATCTTTAAAAAAGTCAATATTTAAGAAAGTACAGTGCAATTTAACAAAAGTCATTATTTAATACAACAAAATTTTATTTATTTACAGTTCACAAGTCACGACAGTCACGAAGTGACTGCTAGGTCGCTAATTTGATTAAAAATTTTTTTAATTAAAAAGAAAAAAATTTCCTCGCCTAAATATAATTTATTTTCATACAAATGATGTTGAGTTGTTTTTCAAAGAGGGTGAATGTACTTGGAAAATAATTCAAGAGTTTAAAATAAATAATAGCATAAAACGTACTAAAAATGTTTTTTTTTTTATTGTTTTTATTACGAAAAAAAAAATGTATTTACAGTAATACGTACATTCTATCTTAAAAACTAATTAATATTACACAAGTGTCCGTAATAAATTTATTTTTCTTCAAGTATGTATAATTATTTATAGTCTTAAGTTTATAAACCGTCTTACGAGCATTGGCAATAAATAAGTACAATACATCGAGAGTTTGTAGATAAAATAAACCGTAAAAAAAGTATACTGATTGATTCAGTCTGCGTTTATAAATAAATTGACATATTTTAAACATTTTATTACAATAATTTACTAAATATTAATAGTATAAATTTCAACCACACCAAACAGATGTTTTAAATTAAAAATATATACTCAGTCGTAGTTTTCAGACCTATATAAAAAATACTATATTATTTATTTAATCTCTGATTATACTGCGCTATGTCTAGTTTTATTTATATATTCAAATTCATTATCTCTAAAAAACGAGAAATAGTCTCAAGAAGGCTTGCCAAAATAATATTTTTTATTTACAATCATCCTTATCGATTGGAATGGTATTTCCCTATTTTCTTTTTTATGTATATATTTATATATATTTATATTACACAAGTCTCTCTTTTATTTGTGTTTATCCCCAGCATTATTTTGATAATCGAATGGCTCTTCGTCACCATCTAAAAATAAATTATCATTTTAAGTAACTAGTTTTCCTTTACCATAACACAATATTAGAATAAATAAATAAATAAATAAACTATATCAAATAATTTTTAACCTTCTTCTTCCTCTTCCTCTTCTTCGCCTTCCTCTAAATTAATATCACTGTTTTTTTGTTGTGGTTCTTTATAATAATCACCATTATCATACTGCTCGTTATCACCTTGCTGTATCGCTACGTCATGCCTAAAAAAAATTATCTATATTATTAAGAGAATAAGAAAAATTTTGTATCCAGAATAATCATATGATAAAATCGGTTTTTTTTTTTAGTGTTATTGCAAAGGTTATTGCAAACTTGAATTTGGGCTTTTTCAAGGTTTCATATAATTCTCACCGATAGTCAATTTATTATGATAAGTATTTAGGCTGTATTCGAAAATACTCTATCTCTAGATGTATAATTAAGAAATGACCTTTTATCTTATGAACTATTGACATTTTTAAAGATATAAGCTCATCCCGATGTTACACTCATCAAGACCTTTCATTTGAGTACCCACATCAATTTCTCATATATTTTATATATTTATATATATTACATATATGTATATATGAAAAATATATCAAAAATGGATGTGGGTACTCAAATAAAAGCTCTTGATGAGTGTATCATCGGGATGAGCTTATATCATTAAAAACGTCAATAGTTAAGAAATGACATTGAATCTTGTCATCTTATGACATTTTTAAAGATATAAGCTCATCCCGATGTTACACTCATCAAGACCTTTCATTTGAGTACCCACATCAATTTTTCATATATTTTATATATTTATATATATTACATATATTTATATATGAAAAATATATCAAAAATGCATGTGGGTACTCAAATGAAAGCTCTTGATGAGTGTAACATCACCATGAGCTTATATCTTCAAAAATGTCAATAGTTAAGAAATTACATTGAACCTTGCTATCTAATGACATTTTTACAGATATAAGCTCACCCTCACATTACACTCATCGAGACCTTTCCTTTGAGTACCTACATCAATTTTTCATATATTGTTATATATTTATATATATTACATATATGTATATATTAAAAATATATCAAAAATGGATGTGGGTACTCAAATAAAAGCTCTTGATGAGTATAACATCGCGATGAGCTTATATCTTTAAAAACGTCAATAGTTAAGAAAGTACAGTGCAATTTAACAAAATTCATTATCTAACACAGCAAAATTTTATTTATAGTTCACAAGTCATGGAAGTCACATAGTGACTGCAAGGTTGCTAGTTACTATAAATTAGATAAAACTCTTAAAACATTTAATTGAATTATTTAAAAATAAAAATTTGATGTATACATAATTTTAACGTACTCAGGAAGCTTTCTCAAATGATTAGGTTCGTCTCCAATTTCCTGAACACCAGGCTTAACTCTATACCAAGGAGGATTTTCTTGTCTCCCGAGGATTTGATCAGCTACGTGCTTGTCAACGTCGTGCTCAATATTCCCGGGTGCCTCTTCTGAATTTTTTGTTTGTCTGACACCATTGTGGTTGTTGTGATTATTATTACGGTTTAAATTATTATTGCCGTCAATATTTAAATTGTTATTGCTGTTTTTGTTGTCCTCGCTCAGCGAAATTCGATTGAGATTTATTTTTTTAAGTTCTTCGGTATCAACTTTTTGATCAACTAACTTTGGTATTGGCAGAACGCCAACGGGCAATTTTCCACGTGAAGCTGATTTAACAGGCGCCACGACAGCATTTGGGAGTAATTTATCGGAAGACACTATTGAGGAAGAATTTGTACTTGATTTTGTATAACTTCCTACAGTTGATTCTTTCGCTACGTTAACAACTAAATTTATCTGTAATAAAACAAAAAATATTTTTATTCAATTTCATAAAACATCCAATTTTTTTTTTTTTTTTATTTATCTATTATTGCGAATAATATTTTACTTTACTTACACAAAAAAAAATTAACAGGCTTTTAAAATAGCATGCGTAGAAATAAGTATTAAGCACTTGTAATTTTTCATTCAACCACTTATGATACAAAAGATTGAAAACTATTATTTCACTCAAGAAGAAAGCTAACTAGCAATAAATAATAATAATAATAATAATAAATAATTAATTAATTAATTAGCGATACGTAAAATAGGAGGTGCAAAAACAAAACGCAAGCGAGTAAAAATAATAACAGTTTTATTAATTATTATTTAATTTAAGTAACACAGAAGAAAGTACAGGCACATTTAAAAGGCAATGTACATACTAAGTACACTCTAATTGCACTATCATACTCAATTTTTTTTTTTTTTATAACTAATACTAAACCTTTTCTTAAATAAAATTAAAAGAGCAAAAAGAAATGTCCAAAAAAGAGTAAAAAAAATAACATGAGTATAAAGAATATAATATTTAACTTAATTGATAATTTGAAAAATTAATTAAACTACCTAAGTAAATGCAGATATGATTCAAATATTTAAATCATTTTGTGAAGTATCGTAAAATACTATGGCTAAGAAAAATAATTCGTTGGAATATAAATTTTAATTATTATTTTACTATACTTATTAAAATAAAATCATTTAAATTAATTAAATTTTACTACGCCATCCCAACTAATTATTTTTTTGACTGTAAATATATTTACAATAAATCTAATTAGTCTAATGTAAAACTAAAATTGCAAATATATAGACCGTGTAATTTAAATAATTAAAAAATAAATTTTGAGATCACATAAAGTAATAACTTTCTGTGAATATTTGTTTTATAATTACTAAAAGTAAATAAATCAATTAACTAAAATTAATTAAAGTAGCGGGCTCTGAATATTGCGCTGGTTTTCATCAACAGGTTTATCAATAGCTTGCGGTTTTAAAAACGGTATCATGTTATTGTCAGTCGACGATGATTTACCATTATTATTATTATTATTATTATAATTATTATTCATTTGATTTGGCATCGGCAATACCGGATTATTGTCATTATTATCATTATTATCCTCCTCAATTTTTTCACGATTTAATTTAACTTGCTCGGTATTAACATCTTTACCATTGTCATTGTTATTTTTTTTTTTTACAACATAAGGTAACGGTAGTGATTTTTGTTCGTTGTCACGCTCAATGTCATTAGCACCAGCAGGCACGATCATACCGTTCTTTTGAATAAATCCTATATTGTTGATATTCTGATCTTTGTCATCCTGATTATTCTCAAGAGAATTATCAATTGGTTGATGATTGCGTGGTGCTTGGATAGGTTGAGGATTATCACCGTCGTTGTTACTCGGTTGACTTACCTGTTGGGGTGAAGGGGCCGATTGCTGCTGAGCCAGTCTCTTTTTGGGTTCTTTTTCAACGCTGGGTTGCCCGACTGACTCGACAGCTTTGTTGTCTCCTTTTTCAGCTGCGGTACCTGGTGATTTGCAGGACGCCTAAAAATCAACCATTAATTAATTAACCGATACTCTTAAGCTTTATTATTAAGAGAATAAGAAAATACTCTATCTCTAGATACATAATTGAGAAATGACCTTGTATCTCGTGAACTATTGACATTTTTAAAGATATAAGCTCATCCCGATGTTACATTCATCGAGACCTTTCATTTGAGTACCCACATCAATTTTTCATATATTTTATATACGATTTATATAAATATATCAAAAATGCATGTGGGTACTCAAATGAAAGGTCTCGATGAATGTAACATCGGGATGAGCTTATATCTTTAAAAACGTCAATAATTAAGAAATGATCTTGTTTCTAGTGAATATTTAAAGATATATATCTAGTTGATATATTTAAAGATCTAAGCTCACCCTCACATTACACTCATCGAGACCTTTTGTTTGAATACCCACATCAATTTTTCATATATTTTATATATTTATATATTATACATATATGTATATATGAAAAATATATCAAAAATGCATGTGGGTACTCAAATGAAAGCTCTTGATGGGTGTAACATCGGGATGAGCTTATATCTTTAAAAACGTCAATATTTAAGAAAGTACAGTGCAATTTAACAATAGTCATTATTTAATAAAGCAAAATTTTATTAATAGTTCACAAGTCACGGCAGTCTCAAAGTGACTGCAAAGTTGCTAGTGTACTTATTAATTAAAAATAAAAAATTTACCTTGGAATCCTCAAGCTCCCGCTGCAATTGAAATACTTCTTTGCGCAAGTGTTCAATAGTACTGTCAGTATTCCCGTTGCTTTTCATCAACTCATTATAATTTTTCTCGATTTTAGTCTTCTCAGTCTCGAGCTCCATGTACTTGTTCTTCAGGTGTTCCATAGATTGTTCCTTGTCCTCCTGGGCTTTCTTTATTTGACTCCTCAGCATTTGCAGCGTCGTCTCCAGCTGGCTTCTCTCCTCCAACGCCTGCTTATGCACTTTCTCGCACTCGTCACGCAGATCTTGATGCTCTGTCTTCAGAAGTTTATGCTCCTGCTGCAGAGAATTAAATCTCTGCAAGGCTTCTATACTGTCTTTATCTCTCAGAGATTTCTCGCGATTGGCACGTTCTTGGAGATCATGTTTCGCAGCTGCGTTTGAATTTTTTTCTTCAGTCAAAGATTTTTCTAATCTTTCTTTATACTCAAATATTACTGAAAAAAAAAAAAAATAAATCATTAATTTCTTATTTAAAAAAAAAATCCACCGACAATTTATGACTGTAACTTTAAATTAATTTTTAAATTAAAAATAAAACACTTACAGACTTTATTTTGTCTTCGGATTAAAATTAATGGAGCAGAAAATATTTACCTTGAAGTTGAGCGGCTAAAGCTTCCTGCTGGTGTGTACACTGTACATGTAATTCTCTAAGCCTCGTCATTTCAGTGGTAGCGGCGCGGTATAAAAATACTAAAAGAAATACAACAATTGCACAGCCTCCATAGACAGCTAGACGGCCGCCGCGGCCTCTTCCGAGCCGGGAGCCGGTCATGGCTAAAAAAAAAATAAATATTTATTATACGAGAAATAAAGAGAATTAATATAAAAAAAAATTTTTGAATAGATTGTTAAAAATAATAAGATAATTTAAATTGAATAGAATTTTAAGTTGATAAAGATCTATGCAGTACATCAATTTAAAATTTATCAACCGTGTTATGATGTTAGGATTAACACGTGGCAACTTCCGCGTGTTTTTGTTTTATTGTTTTGAATTTATTCATTTTATTCACAAGCATGGTTATTTTGTTTCACATGACCCACATTTGAGACCATAACATTTTCTTCACCAGTATCTGTATTATAAAATATAAATATGTATGTATACATGCACACAATATCTGTGTGGTAGTTAGTGATGTATAATGTAGAAAATATACTTGTAAGTGAAAGTCTGTAAGATTTATTAATATTTTTAATTTTTTTTGTTGGTCTTAAATAAAATTGAAAAATCAAAAAAAAATTATTAAAAATTGACAGGTAAAAAAAAATAAATTTTTTTACTTGCTAAAAAACTTGTTGACAAAAACTTACCTTAAAAAAAAATATAATCTGACGTTAAGTTTCAACTCTTGGTCATCGTTAAGCGATCGAGTAAATAAACTGTTTGCTATAAATTATTTTTTTATACTCAATAATATTTACAATAATAATATAACGGCTTGCTAGCACATTGGTTGGTATATTTATGACACAATAAGTCGTTTAATTGCTTTAATAACACATCCGTTTGACAATAGAACCAGACACGGAGTATAGGCTGGAGCGTAAATACTCTTCTCTTGCTTCTCTACCCCGGACTCCAGGTTAGAAACAGACAGAAGACACCAGACACATACAGATACAGACAACTGTCACGTCATATGGCGGCTATGTGGAGTAAGGTAAAGCCGAGAAGTCATGTTTACTGTTTTATTTATTTTTCACTCCGCTAGGTGGCGGTACTAAAGAAAGTCGGTAATGATGAATTTGAACCTTCCAGTTTTTGGCAAGAAAAAAATTTTATTCAGTGTTGAATTATAACCTCCAATGGTCTATTGATTTGATGTGGGTTAATTTATGTAATCGCGAAGAACAACAATGAGTTTTATTAAGGGTCATATTGACCTATTAGTTAGATTGGGAAAAATTATTAAGCAAAATGGTGTTAATCCTTTGAAAGTCCTCGGAACACTATACAGGTATTTTTTATTTTCATTATTACTATTTTATATTATTGTCACTCTTCAACTTATTTACTTTTCTATAATGGTGAATCTAACAGACAATGTATAGAATTTTTTTTGACAATTAAATAATTTTAACAAAAACTTTTAATAAATTTTAAAGAACTACAAAAAATACTTTTTTAGTATTAATTTATTTTTTGACACTTGAATTAGCAGACATTTTACTTTACTTGGATTTTGTAAAACAAATAAATTGTTTACAAAAAATTATATGACACTGAAGTTGAAAGACATTAGAAATGTTTTTAGAATTTTTTAGCAATGAAATAATTATGAAAAGAATTTAATTAAAAATTTCAAAATGTGAAAATTAAAAAAAATTCCTGGTGAAAATTTTTTTATCATTATTGATTTGTTATAGAAATTTAAAAAAATGACAGTTGTCAGCTAAATTCAGTACCATAAAAATTATTTATAAAAAATTTGCATTTTCAATTTTTAATAATTTCTACATGTGGAAATTTTTTTATTCCTGTAATTTGTTGGTGATAAAATTCTAAAAAATTATTAAATGTTTGCTTACAGTTTATACTTTTTTTAATTAACTTTATTTATTTGTTATTTATCATCAATGATATCTTAAATCCTTATTATTTACTAATAAATAATTATTTTTCCAGAACCGATGATTTGAAATTTGGTAAACATATAGGTACTGACAAATATGGCAATCGTTATTACCAAAATGACTTTTACTTCTACGGTAAATATTTTAATTTTTAAACAAACACTAAAAGCCAATTTTTCAATCCGAGATAAAATTTTATTCGGTGCTAATATATATCTATATATTTCATGTATAGATATACTGGCAACAATAATTTTATTCTAAATGAAATTTTATCTTGGATTGAAAAACTGGCCCTAAGATTTCAGACATTTTATCATTTTCTTTGTCTATGTATAAATAATAAATAATTTTTTAAAACGTCAAATTTATTTAAAACTCCGAAATGTCTGATGTTTTCACTAAAATTAAAATCACCTTATAATTTTCAATTATCTTGATTAAAATTTATAATAAAAAAAAATTATTTATTTTAAAAAAAATAGGAAGAAATCGTTGGGTAATTTATGCCGATCATGTTCATATGGATTACGACGCATCCCAAGTTCCCCCAGAATGGTTCGGATGGTTGCATTACAAAACAGACTTGCTTCCACACGAAGACCCAGCAAGAGTCCAGCGCCGATGGATGATCGACCACAAAGAGAACATGTCGGGTACTAAGGAAGCTTACATGCCCTACAGTACCACCAAGCCAAAAGTAGAGCCATGGAAGCCTCCACAAAATTAATTCGTGCTCAAAAAGTTATTTATAAAGTCCTGAGCGTGTAGCAATTATCCAGTGTGTTTTTTGCTAGAAAAAAGTTTATTTAAATGAAATTAGATGTAAATAAAAGTTCTTCATGGAGTTTATTATCTTAATTATTAATCAAGCAAATTATTAATCTAACAAATTATTTAAATCTCCAGTTTATAAATAAGTACATTGGTAAGCTTTCTTGATGTTGGAATGTTTAAGTAAAAAAATTTTATAAATCGTTAGACCCGTAAGTATTTTTAGTTACTTATTAAATTAATCTTCGTAAGACTTTTTCTTGCAATAATCTTCCTCGGAGAGGTAACCTGGTAAATGGTTGTGGTCTTTAACTCCAGTTGGCATGAATCTCTCAGAAATTACTGCGCACTTGCCACGACAACCGCGGTGCTGCTCAGCACAGCGATAGTGCGATCGGTTCAATACTTCTGACCGGGATGTTAAATTATATACGAACCCTTCGTAAACTAATTGCGGACGTCCTCGGGCTGATAATCTGTATGTCACTGGTCCAACATCTATTAATTTAAATAAATTTTAATTTATCAATACTTTGCCAAGAATTTTGGAAATATGTCTAAAGAAATTTTTAATTTTATTTTAAAATTAATCAATAATTTTATATCAAAAAATTTTTTTAAAAATTAATTCAACTAAGTAACAAGACTCAATTAAATTACTTGGTTCCGTAGAGTTATCAAGTATGTCATCAGCCAGTAGGTCTTCATTTGAATCCTCACCCTCTTTGATTACATCAGTAGCTTCACCTAAAAAATATTTAATTAAAATTATAAAACAAACACTGATTATTAAAACTCACCATTATTTATTCCACTGGAATGATCTACAGAATTATCGACATTATTTTCCTCTTGATCTTTATCAGGTTCTGTTTTAAAAGGACTTTTTAGTAACTCCTGCGACCTCTTGACTTTTTTACTGGGTTGAGTTGAATCTTGCGCTCTTTTTTTGCTCCTCTCTTTAGGTTTCACACTCTTAGCTTCACTCTCCGGGTTATCGTAACCATTAATCGGAAATTCGTCCAATCCCTACAAAGAAGAAGAAATAAAGTGACTTTCTAATTTAAAAATAAAAAATACAAAATAAAAATACGAACTTTTACATCGTTATTAAACGTAAGACCTTTGACTTTAAGAATTTCAGCGACTGTTAAAAAATTCTCGAGTTCGTCCTGCTTGACATTAACTTCTCCTTGGTACATAAAATTTATCAGCGCTTCAATATAATGGTATTTAATATCTTTGAGTATTATGACTGGGTGCTTACACGGGTTTGCCTAAAATTAATTATTTATGCATTAATTATTATGAAAATGTAATTAGCCGACATTTTTAAATTTTTTATTGAAAAAGTTTCAATTAAACAATTAAAAAAAAATTTTATTAGTGAAAAACTTGAAAAACTATAAGTGCAATTTTTTAGAAATACCTTTTTAGTTATAATTTAATTAATAAAAAAAAATCAAAAATTTTTAGACGTCTGCTAACTTCAGTGTCATTAATTATTGCAATTGATGACTTAATAAAACATACAAAAATTACCTTAAATATTTCATGGAAGTACGGACTACATACAGATAAAATAAGTTTGTGTGCCTGTAACAGTCGGCCTTCAACAGCCAGAGTAACGTCAACCAGGTCTTTGTTACTTAAGTGCGCCGAAAAACCGTCGGATAAATTATTAGAAAAATTATTCCAGCGTAATGCGAATTCTTCTGAAGTAACATCATCCATCAGAGCCATTGTTTGGAGTTATTATTAGAAATTACGAGGATTGGAGGTGTCTTTAATTTACTACTCCAATAAAATAAGAAATGTCACTCAATAAAAAGAGTATCTGCTGAAGACAAATATTAATATATCTTGTACGTGATAAAAATTTGAACAAATTCAACAATCAACAGTTATGACAGACCATGACATCAATCCTATCCTGGAATCATCATCTACAATCTAAAAAGTATCCAGTATCTTCACATATATCTACAAATATATACACATATTATATACATATACATATTCTTACTATACATAAACATAAGTACTTACTTACAAATACTTACAAGTGCCATGTGGGAAATGAAACGCAGTAAATAATGTCATGTTTTTTTTTGGTTTATTTGTTTACTTTTTTTTTTCTACACTTTAGAGGTTAGTTTTTTTTAACTGGCGTTGATGGCGCATCTTCTTTTTTTTTTAAATGAGTAATTGTTTTTTTTTTTTATGTGCATTGAAAAGATAAATAAAGTAAAAAAACAAAGAATTTTTTTTGATTATTGAGAAAAATTTTTATAATTTTTTTGTTAAAAATTTTTCTTTAAAAAAAAATTGTCTTTTATTTTAAAAAATTTTTTTAATAATTTAATTTATTTTTTAATGATAAAAAATTTTTTTTTTATTAAAAAATTCACAAAAATTTTTAATAAATATAAATTAATTTTAATGAAAAATTATTTAAGAAGTTTTGTTTATTTAAACTTTAACGTGATAACGTGTTGATAATGAAAATAATAAAAAAATTAATTTTTTATTTTAATAATAATAATTACTATCGACTACTCGTGGTTGATATCCAACGCCCTCTGCAAGAGTTCATTTGGTCTGGTCTCGATTCCAGTGTGTGGAGTGTGGAGATGAATTTAGCGATAAACTAAACGCTTTTAATATTAAATAAATATTTATCTAAAAATGTGTCAATTATCAAAGAATGATTATTAATTATCAGCTAAATAATTATCTAGATAAAAAACAAGTGAACTTTCGTACATAGTGTGTAATTGAGGTTTTTTTTTAACTGGAAGTGTGCTAGGGCGGCGTGAAAACGCAGGTATATATTGCGATCAATAAATTATTGGGATTAAAATTTTCTACATTTAAATTTATAAATAATCGCTGGATAATATATAAATAAATATAAATATGATATAATATAATATAATAAATTACTGACACCCACGCTAATTGATGATTATCACTGACCGTAAATTTATTTTTGTTTAATAGAAAAAAAAAAGAGTTTTACATTCAGTTTTGGAGTTTTAAAAATATATTTCGTAACCTAGTCCATTAATTCATGGTCAGCCTATTATTATTATTATTATTTTTATGTCACTGTCTGCAATTAAGTTTATAAATTTTACATGAAATATATTGTGTGATTTTTAATATTTAGTGAAAGACATTAAACAATTTTTTATTAATTAAATTAGAGCTAAAAAATTGTTTTTTAAATTTTCTACATGTGGAATTTTTTCAAAATTTTTTTTATTACTAATTTTTTAATAAAAAAAATTGTCAGATGTCCGTTTACTTTTTTTTCATCAATATTTAATGGACTGCATGATTAATTTATCATTAAAGTGTTATATTTGTTTAAAGTTAATAACAATAAATATAAACATAAACATAAATGTAAATGATTGAATTGTTTATAAAAAATGTTTATAATGTTTACGTGTTTTCAAGGTGAATAATTATGGAAGAGTAGATCCAACTCATGGCTAAAAGTACTGGCATTGAAAAGAGGCAAGGAAGTTTGAATAAACGAGTGTGGTCATGTTCACATCAGCAGCTGCTAAAACATCAACAATCAACTCATAATTATTATCTATCTGGCGCTCATACTCATGGTGGAAACGTGATACAACCGAGTCTACTTTTCAAAAGGAAAAAATATATCGAGTACAGAGATACTTGTGCTAAAGCTATTTCTGTTTTGCAAAAAAATATTTTTAGGTAACTTGTTTATTTATTTATTTATTTTTTTTTTTGGTATATTTAGTTTTAATGTTTATAAATTCTTGGGGGTTTTAGAATTCTTGAAGACTGTTTGCATACTGATCTTTACATAATACACCAGGCCACTGCTCTAGAGATTAACAGTTGTATCTTCAGTGCAAGAGCTCCAAATTTGTATAATCATCTGAGAGATAAATATTTTAAAAATGATTGTGCTCCTTTTGAATGCAACCTTGATTCTTCAGAAATTTTTCATCAAATCAATGGCTTTGTGAGGTAATCATTTTTATTAATAAAAAATACTTATTGATTAATAGAGTCAATTGTAGAAAATTAAATCTTAAATTTAAATCGAAAGAAAAAGTAATTATTTACAAGCAGGGTCCACTCTATTTTTGACCATATCTAGGTGATGAATTAATATTTTTTAATTTTTTTTATTCTGCTTGTTTTTACGGCGCATTTATGATAAAAAATGTGGTGAAAGAAAAAAATAAAGATTTCGATAGATTTTTTGTCTTTAAAAGTTGGAAAAAATTTTGGCTTACATTTTTGGACAAAATTTCTATTTGATCTTTTCTTGATATTTTTAATGTATATTTTTTTTTGAAGTACATAAAAAAAGAACAATTAAAAAAAAAAATGTTGATTATCACAATTTTCTGAAATATTTATAAATTTTTTTGTAAAATTTATAAAATTGTGATAATCATTTTTTTTTTCAAGTATTAAAAAAAAAAACTATATTATGAAAATCTAATAGAAATTTCGTTAAAAAAATGAAAATTAAAGACCCCACTTGTAAATATTTACTATAGAAAACTATCAACAAATTAAAAAAAATTAAAATAATCAATACTTTGAAAGTGAAAACAATTAAGGTTTCAATTATCAATGAGTTTATCCGTAAAGTTTTAAAGCAGATAAATAATTAAATTTAAATATTAATATTTCTGATGATATAATACTAAAAATAGCCGATTAGTTCCAGTTTGTTAAAAGGAAAAGTTTATTAAATTTTAATATACACCCGGTTATATTTAGAGTAGTATTTTTGAATGCGTCAAATAAGCTGATGAAACCCTTGGAGATGAAAGTTTAAATGAAAATAAAAAAAGATGTAAAATATTATTTGATTAAAAATCTAATTTAAGATTTAAGATATTATTTAAGTAATAAATAAATTATTTTCAGACTTTTATACTGCAACTTGGATATAACAGAACAGGAGCAGCGTTTAGTAGAGTATATTTTATACATAGAAGATAGAGTACTACCGTTAAATGGATCAATAGAGTTAGAAAGAAGTTGTTTGGAAACAAGCTGTGATGTGGCTGATTTAACTGTAAGTAGATCAGAAATGGCTGATTCCGGGCTGGAAACCGGATCGTTCAGCCCCCATGAGAACACAGAGTCCGAAAACTCGTGTACGGACTTAGAAGAGTCACATGTTACTGATTACGTCTCGACAGACGAGGACTTGATTAAAGTGTCGTACAGTGGGGATGGAGAAAAATCATTGTCGGGTAAAAATACTAACGCGAGTCACAGCCATCATACCGGTTGGTGCAGTAGTGGTAGTGACCGAGACCCCATAAACAACCAGAGAACTATTTTGAGCGACGTCTGTGCATGTGGCGCCAATAAACCATCAGCTCACGAGAAACTCCCGCCAGCAGCTACTGCTAATTCTTATCAAAAAAAATCCCCAAGTCCCGACACTCCCGACCCAGTAGAAGTTCAAGTGCCGGCTAAGCAATATCAAGTTGACGAAGTCGCTCAATATGAAAACGAAGTTTTGAACGATCCATTTTACGAATCCGATAATGAACAAAGTGATTCTTTTGTCGTTACCGGGTCATTTGAATTTATCGAGCCCGCAAATCTTTCACCTACCGGAAACGCTATCAGACAAGAATTTTTAAATGAATCTCCGGAAGAGAAATCAAAGTCTCGTAGTATGATCGTAGAACCGTCAAATCACACTTGTTCTTCTTCATCGTTATTTTTACACGCGACAGATGATTTTAATTTAAAAAAAAGTTCTACAAGTGATTCTAATAATTATTACTTTATCGACGCGTCTAGTCTTAATGATGATAATGAAATAGCGAGTAATTTAACTAAAGCAGCCTCAGAAGCTTCTTCGGTTCCTGCTTCTGGAATTAGCTTGCCCACGTATTTAAAAGACACTGTCTATATTCCTTCAAAGTCACACGAGCACGGATACGGCTTGGAGCTCACTAGAGGCGATAATAATTATAATAACAATACCAGAAAATCTTTCGCCGGAGGACAAGAAACAACTGCGGAGTTTCAGTGTGAACTAAAGCTCACAGAGTATCTTAGCAACGACTCTCCGTCGCAGAGTCGTAGAATAAGAGCCGTGGAGTTTGAAAAGTCGAGTAATATTAAACCCGTGGAAAAAGAATCGCTGGTTGTTGAGATTAAAGAAGCCGACAGCGGGGAGAGCAATCATCCCTCTCCGTGTATTGATAATAATAAAAAAGCCCAATGCAACAGTGCTGTCAATATTAGCGAAGTTCCTGGAGATAGTGATGAAAAAGAGGACATTATTGTGATCAATGAAAATTTATCTGATAATAATTCTTCATGTGATTCTCAGCCATTGTCCCTAGTACGCGGAAATACATTCGAACTCGAGTCAGGGGATGAAAAATTATCACACTTAAGGCAAGAGTACGAACGTCGCCAGGGAAATTTAGTATTTAAAAGTTCTATACCTCAATATTCTGGCCACCGAGTGGATGACCTCGGGCTGTGGCACGCCACTCAATTGCTGTTGCTGAATTTGACACGCCGAGCTTTGATGTAGATTCTTAACAATACTCATTGAATCCCCGGCACGACAACTGCTTAGATCTTGAAGTGGCACTTGACTTGAATCAAAGTATCCTTGCTGCTGCTGTTGCTGCTGACTTGACAGAGTTTGAGAATTTATTTCCGGGTTGTTAGGCATGTAAGCAGTGATCGGAAACTTCCCG